CAAGCTCCAGCCTTCACAGGTGACAACATTTATTGGCATGGTTCATTTAGCACATTAGGGTGGGACATGCTCTGGGGCCAGTGGTCTATTGCCAGCTGGTCTTCACAGATGCCTCCCCAACAGGTTTGGGAAATCTCCCTCAGTGGATTTCTACCGAGACTGAGAGGCCATCATGTCATCGTCAGGATGGAAAGCACAGTGACAGCTGCTTACATAAACAGGCAGGGGTTTCCTGTGCTCTCCCCTCCTATGCAAACAGGCGACCATTCTGTGGCAATGGGCTTACCCCCTCTTCTGCTCTCTGAGAGCCGTACATGTTCTGGGTCTGTTAAACTCAGCTGGGACATAATGCCAAGAGGGGGCCCACAACCTGGGGAGTGGAGACTTCATCCACAGGTGGTCAAGGAAATCTGGTGTCACCTGGGCAAAGCAGAAGTCGACCAGTTTGCTTCAAAAAAGTCGGCCCATTGTCCTCTCTTCTTCTCCTTGAGAAACGACCATCCTCCCATGGGGTGCGATGCCTTGGCTCATCCCACCCCATCTCCTTCAGCCCCTTCTCCGAAAGGTGCAGTTGGACTGCACACCAGCACAGGGGCTTAATAGATGAGCTGTGGGGTGTTAAGCTGGTGTGTATTAAAGAAATATCCATGGACTCTGACGAGCAAGGGATCATATCCCGTACATGTAATGTAACGGGGTAGAAAGATAGTCTCTTCACTCAGAGAACCAAGGTAACGAAGTAACCCTACGTTTAGACACTATCTGAAAACTTTCATCTGTCTTTATTATTTTCAACACAGGTTCAATTTTTTTCACTTTTTTTGCATCCTTCCAATTCATGTTTCTCTTGTTGCAGGGATCAATATTGGCAAAGTCTGCAGGAACTGAGGAAATTTATTCAAATCCGAGAAGCAAGTGCTTTGGCCCGCATCTCTACTGATTTGTGAGTCAAATTTATTTAAACATACATTCTTTCAGATGAAGGTATGAACATCATTTAAATGTTTTTTTCTCAAGCAAAGGTAAATTGATTTTTGTTTTCACATATATTTAAAATTATTGTTCCTGCTGGTTCAGAAATATCCCATATAAAAAACTCAGGTTTGATTTCCATATGAGAAGCTGGGTTAATCATTCAGAGTGAACCAGATCAAGTCTGACTGGACGAATCTTGAAGTTTTTCATCTGTTGTTGTGGTTTGATATCTAACTATCTAATCTTTCTCTCTTTTTCAGCTTTCTCAGAGATGAGGACCAATCGTCACGTCTGTCTGATCTATCCTCCACAGTGATTGGTCAAACGGAAAAAATATCAATTTTAAAAGATTAGAAAAAAGCAACACAGTCCTGTAAGTGTTTTCAACATTGAATCCTGACAGTCATGTTTGTACACACACACACACACACACACACACACTGAGTCTGTTTTGCTGCATGTTTAAAAAACAAATACAATCTCATGTTGAGTCGATCATGTTTGCACTCTGAAAACTTTCATCTGTCTTTATTATTTTCACAACAGGTTTGTTTTTCTAACTTTTTTTGCATCCTTCCAATCCGTGTTCAGGATCAGTTTCTGTGTGTAAATTGGTGGTGTTCCTTTAATGTGTAGTTTCAGTATAGCTAGCAGCGTATCAAACTCTGACATCCTGAAATACACCTGAAGTGATGCTGATCATTCTGCAGCTCTTTTATCAACAGGGGAAACTCTCCTGGCTCTTGTCTTGTTTTCAGGAGTGGGTGGACCCAGAGGTTTTTTTTTTTTTTTTTTTAAGGACTGAAAGAATCACAAAGTCATCCTCACGGCTCGATGACTCCATTCTGTCTCACACTGACAATTTTCAGAATGAAGAGAAGAATGAACACATCTGACTCAGAGTGTGAGGTTCCTGTGTAACGTTTTGATCGGATTACAGATCTGAAAAACACATTTTAAAAAAACAGACTCAGTGTGCAAAGACCTTCAAGATGAAACAACCCCCATGGTTGATGTAAAGCAAACGCCATGCTCCTGTTTAAAAGATGTTGAAGTGATGTTGAGTTTTCAAGTCAAATGTTTGACTGAAACATCAACACCTCCTCTCTACTTTGATCCTTTGTGTCATTCATGGAATAAAGAAACAACACAGTGTTTAATGTGTTGCTCAGTGTCTGCTTTGCTCTTCATATTTCATTTGTAATAAAGAAACATCATCAGTGTGTCTCTTGTTGCAGGGATCAAATGTGGCAACGTCTGCAGAAACTGAAGAAACTCAATCAAATGCAAGAAGAACGTTTTTTTGCCGACCTCTCACCTGATTGGTGAGTAAAATGTTGTTTTTTTTTTAACAACTTTATTTTCAATTTTACATATTGTTACATCAATGTCAGATGAACATTCACAGCAAGAAATTGTTAACCCTTATCCCACCCCCCACCCCCTCCAGGTGGTGTCCCCACATACATACACAAACCTTTAGACAACAAGGCAATAACAAATAGAGGGTGTATTAACATGCATGTAAGCACTCATATATAGAACAATATGCATCTAGATGTTGATCCTCTTAATGATAGCAATATATACGTTGTTGCCAGAGAGATAAAAAGGAATTAGATAGACAATAACAATAATACAACAATAATACAAAAAAACAAAGCATCGGACATACAATCACAAAAATAACCCAAACTGGCATGTTTAGATTATGCTACTCGTGGTACCAATATTCTAAACCCTTCAGGAGAAAAGGTAGGTAACAGCTCCGACAACCATAATCAAAGTCTCCCAACTCAACAGTCATACTTATCCTCCAACCCACGTACTTTATATCTAAGTTTCTCCGATCCAATGAATATAAGTGGGGGGAATCCTTCCTTTCCAGTTGAGCAGTATCAAACAGCGGGCATGTAATGACGCATAAGCAATAGCATTTTTGTGGAGGCGGGAAAACATCAATTCATCATCAACTGCTCCAAAAATAGCTGTTATTGGGTTGGGAGGTATCGTCCTACCAGATATTGCCAAGAGTGATTGGAAAACAGATATCCAGAAATTGGATAATGATGGGCATGCCCAGAACATGTGCCCTAAGGAAACAGGAGAATGATGACACCTGGGACAAATTGGAGCCACATTAGGATATAATTTAGCTAACCTGTCATTAGAGTAATGCAGTCTATGGACTATTTAAATTGAATTAATCCATGTCTGATGCAAAAAGATGAAGAGTGTATTAAAGAAATAATGTTTTCCCAAGTATCCTCTGAGATGAGCTCCCCAACGTCTCCTTCCCAAGCTGTCTTAGTTTTATCCCACTTATGGGGGCAACTATTCAAAATAAGTTTGTATATTTTTGATACTGCACCTTTATTGAATGGATTGACATTGAGAACTGAGTAAGCTATGTCTTTAGGGAGTGGGCATGGATATCCTGGGAAGTGTTGAGAGGCAAAACTCCGAGCCTGAAGGTATCTAAAATATTGTGAATTTGAAAGATTGTGGTCCTTGCACAGAAAAGTAAATGACGCAAAGCTGTCATCAGTAAACAGATCTTGAAAAAAGACCAATCCGCTCCTACTCCAGACTGCAAAAGCCAAATCCAATTGAGATGGTGCAAAAAGATGATTGGACATTATTGGGGAGAAGCCACATGTATTATTGAGGTTAAAATATTTTCTAAACTGGCCCCAAATCCTAATTGTGTTTTGAACCACGACATTCGCACTGAAATCCTTTGCTCTTACATTTAATGGGAGGGGGGCAGTTAAGAAAGAGATTGGGGAGACTGGGAGAGTAGATTGTAACTCCATATGAGCCCAAATAGGGCCATCCTTATCCGCAAACGTGGTAATCCAATATGTCATCTTGGCAATATTAGCAGCCCAGTAAAAAAATAAAAAAATTAGGCAGACCCAGACCACCCTCTGATTTGACTCTCTCTAAGTTTGATTTCTTTGTACGTGCAGGTTTCTTGTTCTATATAAACGATGAGATTAGGCAGTCTAGCTGGGTAAAATAGGATTTTGGGAGAAAAATGGGCACCATTTGAAACAGGTATAAAAACCTGGGTAGTACTGTCATTTTTACTGAATTAATCTGGCCCGCCAGGGTAATAGGGAACTTTGACCACCTATCCAGATAACTCTTGGTGCGTTCTAACATAGATTTAAAGTTGTATTCAAAAATGTCCTTGACTGAACCAGCTATCTCGACAACCAAATATGTAAATTTTTCTTCTCAACCTTAAAGGGAAGATGTTCGTAATTGATCTGTTGTGCCAGATCATTTAGTGGAAATAGCAGGACAAATTGATTTTGTATCCGGAGATATTCCTAAAGCTCTGCAGCAAGGAGAGAAGGCAGGGAATACTTTCTGTCGGATCTGACATTTGCACAAGTAAATCATCCGCGTAGAGAGATGTTTTATGGATTATGCCACCCCTTGTAATGCCCTTAATCCTATTATCTGATCTAATGGCAACTGCTAACGGTTCAACTGCAATGTCGAACAAAAAGGGCGACAGGCAGCAACCCTGCCTCGTACCCCTATGCAGCATAAAACATTCAGAGATATTGTTATTAGTTTGAACAGCAGCCATGGGTGCCGAATATAACATTTTTATCCAGTTGCAAAAAATAGGTCCCAATCCAAACTTTTCCAAGGCAGCAAAAAGATAGTGCCATTCAATCTTATCAAACGCCTTTTCAGCGTCAAGACTTAGGATAGCCTCAGGTTGTACTGGAGAGTTGGGGGACATCGTCCTCGTTAATGATGATAGGAATAATGGCTGCTAATCACTGCGCAAGGATCTTGGTTAAGATTTTATAGTCGCAACCAAGAAGGCTGATTGGCCTATAAGCGCTACACTCTAGGGGGTCCTTGTCTTTTTTCAATAGCACCGAGATTGTCGCTTGAGAGAGTGTTGGTGGTAATTTTCCATTGACCAATGATTGGTCATAAACAGATTTTAGTATCGGCACAAGTTTCTGAGAGAGTACCTTGTAAAACTCCCCCATCCGGGCCCGGTGCCTTCCCTGTTGGAGTTATTTTAATAGCATTTAATAGCGCCTGATTTGCAAACACACACATTTGCAACACTCTTTTGTTCACCAATCAATCCTAAAATTGAATGTGGAGCTGAATCCTCGACCAGAGCACGTTTAGGGCCTCTGGGCATTTGTTTGGCGTTTCAGTGTTGTTTCAAATGTTTATATCTTGAGTGTTGTGTTGTGTTTGAGTATTGTGTCAAATGTTTGTATCTTTGTTTCCTGTCTTAATTGTTGTGCCGCAAACGGAGCCGCTGTGACGCAAGGCAAATTTCAGACTAGGTCTGACAATAAAGTATTATCCATCCTATCCATCCATTTGCTATTTCTTCAGATGACAATGGCTGTTTCAAGGACAACTGAGAGTCCGAAGAGAGTTTAGGGATATCTAAAGAGTTGAGAAATGAGTGGATTTCAGACAAGTTAGTGTCTGCCTCCGATTGATACAGGGCAGAATAAAATTGCTTAAACTGACCATTAATAATTTGAGGATTGTTTGAAATTAAACCAGCACCTGTATTGATCCCTTGGATCATCCGCTCAGCAGACTGTTGTTTAAGCTGAAGCGCGAGGAGTCTCCCTGCTCTATCTGCATGTTCATAATAAAGACCAATTGCCATGTCTATCTATTCAATCCACCTGCAGTACTCAGTCAAATGACAAAATAATTAATTTCCAAAACAAGTAAGTGTTTTCAACAATGAATCCTGACAGTCATGTTTGTACACATACACACACACACTGAGTCTGTTTTGCTGCATGTTGAAAAAACAAATACAATCTCATGTTGAGTCGATCATGTTTGCACTCTGAAAACTTTCATCTGTCTTTATTATTTTCACAACAGGTTTGTTTTTCTAACTTTTTTTGCATCCTTCCAATCCGTGTTCAGGATCAGTTTCTGTGTGTAAATTGGTGGTGTTCCTTTAATGTGTAGTTTCAGTATAGCTAGCAGCGTATCAAACTCTGACATCCTGAAATACACCTGAAGTGATGCTGATCATTCTGCAGCTCTTTTATCAACAGGGGAAACTCTCCTGGCTCTTGTCTTGTTTTCAGGAGTGGGTGGACCCAGAGGTTTTTATTTCTTTATTTTTTAAGGACTGAAAGAATCACAAAGTCATCCTCACGGCTCGATGACTCCATTCTGTCTCACACTGACAATTTTCAGAATGAAGAGAAGAATGAACACATCTGACTCAGAGTGTGAGGTTCCTGTGTAACGTTTTGATCGGATTACAGATTTGAAAAACACATTTTAAAAAAAACAGACTCAGTTTGCAAAGACCTTAAAGATGAAACAACCCCCATGGTTGATGTAAAGCAAACGCCATGCTCCTGTTTAAAAGATGTTGAAGTGATGTTGAGTTTTCAAGTGAAATGTTTGACTGAAACATCAACACCTCCTCTCTACTTTGATCCTTTGTGTCATTCATGGAATAAAGAAACAACACAGTGTTTAATGTGTTGCTCACGTTGCTCAGTGTAATAAAGAAACATCATCAGTGTGTCTCTTGTTGCAGGTATCAAGCATGGCAACGTCTGCAGGAACTGAGGGAACTGTTTCAAATCGAAGAAGAAAGTGTTTTTGACGACCTCCCACCTGATTGGTGAGTAAAATGTATTTACAACATATACAGTATGTATTCTTTCAGATGAAGCTATGAACATCATTTAAATGTTGTTTTCTTAAGGTAAGGATCTTTGTTGTCATGTCTCTATTGTTCATGAATGAATGTCTATTTCATATCTTAATTATGAAATTTTGTAAATAGACATTTTAAAGTGGGACCGTCTTCTCCTTCAGAGAAAATGACATGATGACACAAAGTAAAAATAACGTGTTTCTTTTTTTTACACTTTAATCATATTAAAAAAAATAGCTGCTTTTGATTTTAATGTTTATTTTGATGAAGAATAATCACACAATGCTTATTACTCCATGCAGGATGGAGGAGGAAGAGGAGGAGGTGGTGGAGGCGGAAGAGGAGGAAGAGGAAGAGACCAAATCCGTGATCTAAAAGTCTGAACTTTGCGTCCAGACTTTGGGCTGACTGGTTGTTTGAAAACCATGTTGAGTATAATGATCTGTAGCTCTTTTAGTGACAGCTTGATTTGGATACAAACGAATGATGAGATTCTTTGCTCACATAAGACTGTTATTTTTTATTATCCTACTGTCATCATCTTTGTAATCATTCTTTAATTCTCTCTCTTGGATTATTTTCTCTTCGACTGATTTTGAGGTCCTCGAAGTTATTATGCACCTTCCTGTATTTTAGTCACTTTCAAACTCTATAATTAATAATACTTCTGTGTTAAAGTGTTTTCTTTGTCAAGGTTCATACAGTAAATACAGGAGTTGTATTACTGAGTTTTAGTCATTGTGCCAATTAAACAATGTGGAAATACTTTGAGACAAAATCTGAGAAGAAGCACTAAAGTCTGAGTAACATCTTTTTAACAGTATTTCATTACACTGAAAGTACGGTGGCTGGGAAGTGCAAACCAAAAATACAAAGTGTGAAATACTTTTGCAAAGCTTAAGAAAAATGTAAACAAAATTACAAAAGCAACACACTTGAATCAAAGACCAAACTTATTTACATTTTAAACACATTTAAAAGGTTTCAAACACTTTAAGAGCGATGAGACAAATTTACAAACGTCAGAAAGGGGAATGTACCAAATGCTGGAAGCAGTCAATGAATCTGTTTTCACATATACACTGTTTAAAATGATTTCACGAGGACTGCTCCGGATATTCTCCTGACCTGACTGTTCACATATGCTCCTCACAGCAGGAGACTATCAATGTCATGGATTTGTCTATTTTTCAAGACATGTATAATAAAAAATGAACTGAGGCAAGCTCTGAGCTCCGTTACCATGACAATTACAAATGTTTGCATATGTATAATCTCATAATATACAAAGTATACATTATAAAAAGAAGTGTACAATTATTTCAGATTAAGTTTTTTCCATATCAATAATCAATTTTATATTATTGTTTTATTCGTTTTGTGTATTTGTTGTTGGGGAGGGGGTCAGGATGTTTTTTATCTAAAACTGTGACCACTTGATTATCACCTTCTGCTGGCAATACTGCTGTACTGTCATAAAGAAAAATCTATGAATACAGTTAAAAAAATAAAAGTTATTTTCGTTTTCTAATACAATAAAATAAAATCTGTTCGAACATCATGCATATGGACAATGAGGTATTTTATTTTGAAAAGAGAAAGCCGGAAGTGGTGTTTTATTTTGCAGCAGTTATGACAGTAAGAAGAGACATTTTTGGCCGCCGTTGTTTTGAGATTCACATCATGAGAAAATAACTCTTAGGCATTTTAAGGTGCGCAGTGTCACGTGAGTATAACGATATGTGATTTTAAAAGCACGTGTGTAAATCGTGACTGTGACGTAATGACGTTTGTTGATTGTGTACCGACTACCGTGTGACGTCAGCCCTCCCAGCTGTCTGTAACGTTGCGTAAACTCAGTTTCTGTAGAGAAAACAGGAGATTTAACTCATTTTATTTGTTAAGCTCACAGCAACAACATGTAGAAACGAATGACGCTTTCGATTTGATATTTTTAGACAGATTTGTTTAATTTTAGGCTCAAAGACTCGTCTTCGTTGTCTGTTTTGAAGCAGCCAGTCATGGATTCCGCTTTTGAGAGGCACTGCTCGGAGCTGGTGGCCCGGGAGAGGAGCGGACACACGGCCGTGGTGGAGGACAGCCTGCTGTATGTGTGGGGGGGATACATGGTGAGAAACAACCAACAAACGACTTTCTCAAGATTCTCATGTGTCTGCAGCCGCAAGCAGTGTGACACTTAGAGATAACTTAAAGTCTGCAAAGGGATACAATCATTTATAAAAGTGAAGTAAGCAATTCAAATAAAACAAAATACAAACACAGTTATAAAACAGGCAGCATACTATGGAAGCCCATTTCAGCCAGTTAAAAAAATAAAAATGAAAATAATAAAGTCATAATAATGAGATAAAAAGTTGAAATTATGAGATATAAAGTCATAATAATGAGATAAAATGTCAAAATTATGAGATATAAAGTCGAAATTATGAGATATTAAGTCATAATAATGAGATAAAATGTCAAAATTATGAGATATAAAGTCATAATAATGAGATAAAATGTCAAAATTATGAGATATAAAGTCGAAATTATGAGATATTAAGTCATAATAATGAGATAAAAAGTCAAAATAATGAGATAATAGGACACCAGTAAATACTCATGTAGTGTTCCTTGTTCTCAAATATTATACTTTAGAGATATAAATTAAGACATTCTTTTTATTCTGCATCCTTCATCAAAACATGATAAAGTGACAACAGTGCTCAATACCAGAGCCCGACCGATTGATCTGCAAGCCGATAATATCGGCCGATATTAGCACATCCAGTGACTATCGGTATCAGCTAATTTTAGTGCAGCTATGCGCTGATATTACTCGATTTATTCACCAGTCAAATAGCATTTCAGTTGAGCGTCATTGTATTACACTAGCAGTTCTCTGTCACCAGCAGAGGGCGCTACATGGATTACAACAAGCATCATCACTCTCCAGAGTGTCAAGAGGTGAAGCAATCTTTTCTAAAAGTGTTTGATGACTGCATTTAAGGGATCAGCGCAATAAATGTGTTTATCCATCTCTATCTATCTCTACAGATCGAAATACAATCTGAGAAAGACATCGGCCGATATATCGGTATCGTTTTCTCTCTCTCCCTAATATTGTTATCAGACACAAAAAACCTGTATCGTTTAGGCTCTAATTATAACACATTAAAAAACATTGATTTTTAAATTCTGTAAAGACACATGGTGCCCTAAGAAAAACGGTTTCACTCTGACCTTAAAGTTTATTCAGCAGACGACAACTTTCAGCTTTGATGTTTTTTCATGTTGATAATTTACTCACATAATCACAAACAAAGAGAAGTGTTATCGTTGTTTTTAACTTTAATGGAGGTGTTGTATTTTCAGTCAGTCGCTGATGATGAAGTGTTTCTACCCAATGATGAAATCTGGGCGTACGACCTCGAACAAGGCTCATGGTAAGAACACTGATTACTTCATATTGATTGTGTTTATGTCTGTCAGGAGACAAAAGTCTTTTTTAAAAACACTTTTCTGTCATAATGATCCTCTAAATATCTTTCTGCTGTCTGATCGTTGGTGTGAAATGTGTCCTGACATGATTACGAGTTGTTTATTCACTATTTTTATTTTAAATAATCATTTTGAAGGAAAGTGTTTCACATGCCAGGGGAAGTCCCTCCCTCCATGTCTGGGACCTGCAGCTGCTCCCTGGATGGTCACATGTACATATTTGGAGGCTGCGATGACTTCGGACAGACCAATCAGGTGAGGCTAAGAACTGCTAGAGATGCACCCGTCCACTTTTGTTCAGTTCTGATCTGATTCAGACACAAATGTTCGGCCAACAGCAACTGATTCAGATATTTAAAAACATAATAAATAGTGTTGAGGCTTCACAAAGCTGTAGTAAACCCAGCATAGCATTTCTTACTGAAAGAGAAAAAAATAAAAATTAAAAAAATTAAAATGATTCCAAAGAAACTAATCTGAACTTTGTGCTGGCTTCAAATACAAACAGGAAGCAGCAACAACTGTCAGGATTTTCAAATGAAATCTTTTAAACTGAAGTTGTGAGAATCCTTTTAGAAGGAGCTGTACCAACTTGTCTGAACGTCGTCATGGAGACGATTTGTGGACACTCCTTACAGTTCAGTCTGAACGTCTTCAAAGTGAGCCTGAGCGAGCCGAGCGGTCGCCTTCACTTTAACATTCACACATTCTGAAATGACTTCGGTGAGCTTAAGAGCATTTTAAGACAGCAAATAAAATGTAAAATTTGCCTTAAGGGTGTGAGTGTCTTGCTGTGTAAAAAAAATAAATATAAACATATATTTTGTAGCAGGACAGCGTGCAACAGGAAACACCTCGTCGGCTCTACAGATAATTCTGCAACATTTCACGTTTCAAACATTTCTGCCCTTTGATTCTTGTGATCATCAGTTCGCTGATGGTCAGAGGTCAGAGTTGAACAGAGTCGACATGAAGCAGTGATCAGTGTTTGACTTCAAACAGATCTATTGTGTCAACCTGACAGACGGCAAATACACATGGAGGAAGATCACGCACCAGGTTGGCTCGGCTCCCTCACCTCGAGACAAACTGTCCTCCTGGGTTTACAAAGGAAGGTGAGTGAGAGACGGACTTTTAGTCTGCCGTCTTTCTCCAGCACTTTGTTACTGAAGGCTGCAGCTTTCACTTTTATTCTCACTGATCAGAGCAGTCATGAGGAGGATCGAACACTGACTCATAGATGCTGTTTGTTTGTGCTATGAATCTATGAATCTGGTGTTTGCATCCTTTCTCCCTGACTTCAAGTTGAAAACCTTTTGTTTATTTATATTATGGTTTAATATGATGATAGAGGAAAAGTAGAGTCAGTCTGAACACATGTTCAAGCTGTTTGCAAGTTAAAGGCTTTTTTTAAGGTTTAATTTTGGACTTTTTTTATGCCTTTATTTTAGAGACAGGATAGAGAGTCAGAAATCCAGGAGAGATTGGAGGACTGTAGCCTCCATACTTAGGGCACGCACTAACCACTAGGCTACCGGCGCCCCTTGTTCTACACAGTATTGTATCAATATAGTGTTACATCAATTGTTTCCTGTTTGTTTGGTGCTCCCTCTGGTGACTTCTGTTGATTTCACCTGGCTGACAGCACCTGTAGACCATTAGGCTGAGTCTATTTAGGCAAGGCCTCCTAATTAACCACTCTCTCTCCCAACTTCACAGCACCAACACCTCAGTAGTTTGTTTCCTGGTTTTTCAGGTACTTTATGTTTAATTGTCAATAAACTAAAAACTAAGAACTTACAACCTTTGTGTTGTGTCCCTGATTATGTTCTGCATTTGAGCCAGCCGTAACAATAGACAGAAAATGATGGACCGAGAGCGGTTTCTACGAAGTGACAGATATTACAGTTGCTGTGGTAACGTTAGCTTTGTTTCTATGGTTTCTACATAAACGGTAATAACGTTCAAATATCACTAAAGCCCACGTTAACACGTTTAAATCCTTATTAAATAATTTAAAATAACATACGGCCGTAGTATAAGTCCCCGCATCTTGAAGCCGGCGGACACTTTCGTCTTTATTTTGCGAGACACGTCCATGTTTGTTGCTGTGCAACTCAAGAGTTGGCAGTAAATATTTACTTCCGCGTATATTACGTCACTTCCGCTGAAGATTCACACGCTTGAATATGCAACAAAAAAAAAAGCAGAAAAGGCAAAAACATACAAATATTACTAGATTAGGGCCACGTTAAACATTTTTATCTTTTTTATTTCGAGATTAAAGTCTTTAATTTACGAGATTAAAGTCTTTAATTTACGAGATTAAAGTCTTTAATTTACGAGATTAAAGTCTTTAATTTATGAGAAAAAGTTGTTAATTTACGAGATTAAAGTCTTTAATTTACGAGAAAAAGTCTTTAATTTACGAGATTAAAGTCTTTAATTTACGAGAAAAAGTTGTTAATTTACGAGATTAAAGTCCTTAATTTACGAGATTAAAGTCTCTAATTTACGAGAAAAAGTCGTTAATTTACGAGATTAAAGTCTTTAATTTTACGAGATTAAAGTCTTTAATTTACGAGAAAAAGTTGTTAATTTATGAGATTAAAGTCTTTAATTTACGAGATTAAAGTCTTTAATTTACGAGAAAAAGTCTTTAATTTACGATATTAAAGTCTTTAATTTACGACAATAAAGTCGCTAATTTACAAGATTAAAGTCTTCAATTTACGAGATTAAAGTCTTTAACTCACGAGAATAAAGTCGTTAATTTATGAGATTAAAGTCGCTAATTTACGAGATTAAAGTCTTTAATTTACGACAATAAAGTCGCTAATTTACGAGATTAAAGTCTTCAATTTACGAGATTAAAGTCTTTAAATCACGAGAATAAAGTCGTTAATTTACGAGATTAAAGTCGCTAATTTACGAGATTAAAGTCTTTAATTTACGAGAATAAAGTCGTTAATTTACGAGATTAAAGTCTTTAATTTACGAGAATAAAGTCTTTAATTTACGAGATTAAAGTCTTTAATTTACGAGAAAAAGTTGTTAATTTACGAGATTAAAGTCCTTAATTTACGAGATTAAAGTCTCTAATTTACGAGAAAAAGTCGTTAATTTACGAGATTAAAGTCTTTAATTTTACGAGATTAAAGTCTTTAATTTACGAGAAAAAGTTGTTAATTTATGAGATTAAAGTCTTTAATTTACGAGATTAAAGTCTTTAATTTACGAGAAAAAGTCTTTAATTTACGAGATTAAAGTCTTTAATTTACGACAATAAAGTCGCTAATTTACGAGATTGAAGTCTTCAATTTACGAGATTAAAGTCTTTAACTCACGAGAATAAAGTCGTTAATTTATGAGATTAAAGTCGCTAATTTACGAGATTAAAGTCTTTAATTTACGAGAAAAAGTTGTTAATTTACGAGATTAAAGTCTTTAATTTACGAGATTAAAGTCTTTAATTTACGACAATAAAGTCGCTAATTTACGAGATTAAAGTCTTCAATTTACGAGATTAAAGTCTTTAAATCACGAGAATAAAGTCGTTAATTTACGAGATTAAAGTCGCTAATTTACGAAATTAAAGTCTTTAATTTACGAGAATAAAGTCGTTAATTTACGAGATTAAAGTCTTTAATTTACGAGAATAAAGTCGTTAATTTACGAGATTAAAGTCTTTAATTTACGAGAATAAAGTTGTTAATTTACAAGATTAAAGTCGTTAATTTACGAGAGAAAAGTCGTTAATTTACGAGATGAAAACTAAATTAACGAGTTCGAGACCAGCCTGCACGAAAATTATGAAAGTAGAACTCTTAAAGTCTTTAAAGAATAAAATAATAAAGTGGTTATTTTAGTCTATATCAGAAGAGCAGCAGCATCCTGTTTTCAAATGACAAACATGGAGCATCTTGTCCTAAAGGTTTCACTAATAAGGAAATAGGCTACTTCCTTGTGTTGTCGGTAAAACAGTTAGTTCAAGAGAAGTTTTCACTTCAATTTGCAAGACCTTGTTTGTCTGTCAAATGATGAAGAGGACACAAACTGTCTGCACATGAGACACTTTAACAAGGCAGACAGATAACAGACACAAATAGTTGTGTTGGGGCTTTACTTATGCAGATATGAAACTACACATGCTTTTGGCACATCATCATCTTCACATTGTCATAAAATATCAGCACCCTGAAAAGATACTGCAAGAAACTGAAGAAAGAACCACACTGACGTGCAGGAAGTGTCTGCAGAGGAAAAGACTTTCTACCTGAGAAGCTTGTTTCTCTCGTGAGATCTGGCAACAGTTACTTTCATTATCAATGTGTCGCACTTTGTATTTCTCCATCTAAAGGTAACGTTTATGCATGTTTTATGTTGCTTAAAAGAAGTAATTTATGTTTATTTGTGTCCTTCTGTTTGGAAAGTTTGTCAGAAAATGTATAGAGGACGTGTTTTCTTTATTTTATATCCGTGTTTTTACCACCGCTGATGTTGAAGAGATACATCCTGTGAGGCCTGAGAGATACGGATTGTAAACAAACAACATTTTAGACGAAACTGAGAAATTAATCTAAGTTTGAGTGAACTCATACGGGTAAAGAATTCTTCATAAGCTTTATTTCAGTATTTAGAAGTTGGTTTAATGGTGTTTACTTTTTCATATCTTCAGAAGCTCGGGTACAAAATAAGGAAACACGTCAGCAGCCTTTATGCTATAAAACCTAAGATAACATTTGTTAGTCTACATATTGATAACTTTTAGAAAACATAAAAGTTGATTAATATTAAAGGACAATTTGACGTCATTATTTAAACCTACACTTTAGTTTGAATAACTTTTTTAGCTTAGACAAAAAGGTTTATTTTGGGTTTTTAAGCCTTCATTTTAAGACAGGACAGTGGATAGAGTCAGAAATGAGAGAGAGAGAGAGAGAGAGAGAGAGAGCGGGGAATGACATGCGGGAGAGGAGCCACAGGTCGGATTCGAACCTTGGCCGCCCGCTTGGAGGTCCACAGTAGTCTACATGTAGCGCTCATAACAATCACCAGACTACCAGCGCCCCCAGATGTTTATTTTAGAAGTCTGTTTAAATAAATAACTTTTAATAAATGTAGACTAGGCCTGTTGTACCATCCAGTGTTTCCAAATCCTCAAACTAATCAGATGTAGTTTATTTTATTGTTTGTTTTTTAGACTTTTAAAGGGAAAATCATGACGTGTGTTCTTGTTTTACATTTGAAATAAGTCTTAATATTTGTATATCTTCTGTACTGATTCTCTGCTCAGTCGGCTGTGAGCTTCATGACTTTAATCTGCAGCATTCACTGACCCTGACAGTGCAGGCAGACTTTGATTTATTTATTTATTTTTCAAATTAAGTTTGAGTTTAAATGTTGTTCTGAACTTGAAATATAAACACAGTCAGATCAGTGTGCTCTGGAAGTTTTAAAGTTGTGATTTAGGTACAAAAAATATAATTAAAGTCTTAAAGTCCTTCTCTGAGAGCACCGACCTCCATTTGTGGAGTGGCTGAAGCACAACAGTTTCCTTCTATAATGATAAAGGTGTTTATTTGTGTGTGTCCGTTAAGGAGGAAATGGAGAATCCTAACTCTGCATTTCCTTTTTCAGCCCAGAGCCGTGCAGAGACCAGACTCTGAAGAACTCAGTATGTCTGTAGACTTACTGAGGGACTTCAGGTTACAACTCTTGTTTAAGGAGTAAGTAAACATCACGTTATTAAGATTTTTAGCATCTATATAAGTGAACAATTCTGCTGTTAGTCTTTGACCTGAAGAGAAAACAGCATACTTCAAATCAAAGTTCATCTGGTTTAATCCTGTTCTCTGTGCTGAACATATTCACAAAGTCAATAAAAACGACCTCCTTTCTAGATGATTTAAACGACTCGACATAGTCAAGAGAAAAGAGGAGGCTTCTTTTTAAAGAGGAGACATCCATTCAGAGCGAACACAATCTGCTTTATATCATATTCTAAAAGGAACATCTGATGCATTCTTCATAGTTTCCCTGTAAGGACCAGTTGCTGCATGTGGTTTGATCTCAAACAGTCAAATTTCCACAGTTTGCTTGTTCAGAGAAAAATATATGTAAATGTAAATCCACTGATAGGAAAGTACTTTTTAACTGAACTCTTCTGGTAATATGATTCCCACCCTGAGGTCTTCTTCTCAGCAGCAGAGCCAGAAAAACATTCAAAAGGGTTTTTCACTTTGTGGTGGTACATATTGTTTTTGGAATCAAGCAGTTTCTGGGTTTGATCTAATGACAGAAAGTTGTCAGATTCATCTGGTCCGTCCTTCAGGAGGGATTAGTCAAAGGAGAGAGAGAAGAATGCTACTGCCTCTGGTTTACATGTTGATAGAAAGGTAAACATTGACATTATAGCGTCATAAAGCAGACTCTGTTGCTTGTCAAAAAGGTTGAACCCCGGGTCGTCCACTTGGATGGCTTTAGCCTCCATACATGAGACGTTACGATCTGCTAGGTCATCAGTCACCTGTTTGTTGAACATTTTATAAAATGACAAAGAAAACTCATAACCTCTTTGACTGATTCCACTGTTTTATATCATATTTAAAAATAATCTGGATTTTCTTTTGATATGAACTTTTTTCTGGTGAAGTTGCATCATAACCGTGTTTATTGTTACAGGCCCAACTCGACCTCCACCCAACTGAAGATAGATGGCGCTGAAGCAGCAGATGATTATAAAGACTCAGGATTCTCATCTGTCAGTCAGTGAGTGAAATGTGCTTACATCTTATTCAGACCGACAGTTTTAAAAATATCAATATTTTGATGAGGCTTCACCATATCAGTTAGAACTGACATCGAGTGCTTTCACACGGACTTGAGTATCCTGTTTTGAGAAATAAATACTGACCTCTTCAAGTCTGTGGTGATCAGGCTACAGGACGCCGGTTTCCAAATGCCTACAGTTGTCATGATGACGCTCATGACCGGGATGGTCAAGTCCATGTACACACTCGTAAAATGTTTTCTTCTTGCATTATACATCGCCATTTTCAAAACAATTCTAACAAATAATTTAAATGTCTTTTTATGTACATCAATCAAGTTTTAAATTAAACAATATATATTTTTTTTTTTTTTATTATCTGGGTCTTTAAAGGCACAGTTTGTATATTCCGCCTCCAGGGAGCTCTCAAGCTAAACAATGACATAAGATGATGTTCAGGCTGGTGGGGAATCATGGGAGTGATTCTCTCTGCTACCCCACCCCCGATGAGAATGAACTCTGACTTATCTTTACACACACAGCAACAGTACGGCAGCTTTCAGTAGCAGCTGCCACTTCCTTATGCAGCGGTCTTTGACGTAACATCAGGTGTTTCTATGACAACGATTAACATGGCAGCAAGACACTTTCTCTGGTTTTGAGAAATGTTGGAAATATTTGAGTTTATGTTAGTACTCAACAACAAAAACATATGTTTGGTAAATTTTTAATGAATTTAGATATTTTGGTAAAAAGTACAACACAAGCAAGGACCTAGAAAAAAGGGAACAATGTCAGTAAGAGCAAATGATCAGCTTTGAGTCTGATTGGACACACAGGTGCTGACAGGAAGTGACCAGAGGCAAAGCACAACATTGAGGGCAGTTCTTGAGAGCTCTAATCAGTATAGAAACCATCTTATAAGTCATCGTTATCAAACAAAAACCATCGTCATTACCATCATCATCATCAATAATATGGAGACCATCATCATTAAGTTAGTAGGTATTCATGAAAGGTATTTCTTAAAGGTGCAGAGGAACTCTGCAGAGCCAATGGAGTTTGGAAGTTCATTCCACCACCGGGGGGCGACAGAGGAGAAGAGTTAGGCCCTGTTAGAGAAGATTTAGGACCCTGTTGTGAAGGTTGGATCAGATGCCTTTCATTGGCAGAGCGTAGTGGGTGGGATGAAGTGTAGACCAGGATGAGAGAGTTAAAGTAAGGAGGAGCCGGTTTTGTCGCTGTTTTGTAAGCGAGAAGCAGAGTTTTAAATTTGATGCGAGCAGTAACTGGGAGCCAGAGTAAGGAGATGAACCGCGGAGTGACATGTGCTCTTTTAGGAAGGTTGAAGACCAGTCGTGCTGCTGCATTTTGTATCATCTGCAGCGGTTTGACAGTGCATGTAGGAAGACCTGCCAGTAGAGAGTTGCAATAGTCGATGTGTGATATCACAAGAGCCTGTACCAGGAGCTGTGTAGCATGTTCTGACAGTTAAAGTATGACCTGAGGTCATACATGAGGCGTTACGATCTGCTAGGTCATCAGTCACCTGTTTGTTGAACATTTTATAAAATGACAAAGAAAACTCATAACCTCTTTTTCCTGATTCCACTGTTTTATATCATATTAAAAAATAATCTGGATTTTCTTTTGATATGAACTTTATTCTGGTGAAGTTGCATCATAACCGTGTTTATTGTTACAGGCCCAACTCGACCTTCTCCCAACTGAAGATAGATGGCGCTGAAGCAGCAGATGATGATAATGACTCAGCCTACTCATCTGCCAGTCAGTGAGTGAAATGTGCTTACATCTTATTCAGACTGACAGTTTTAAAAATATCAATATTTTGATGAGGCTTCACCGTATCAGTTAGAACTGACATCGAGTGCTTTCACACGGACTTGAGTATCCTGTTTTGAGAAATAAATACTGACCTCTTCAAGTCTGTGGTGATCAGGCTACAGGACGCCGGTTTCCAAATGCCTACAGTTGTCATGATGACGCTCATGACCGGGATGGTCAAGTCCATGTACACACTCGTAAAAAATGTTCTTCTTGCATTATACATCGCCATTTTCAAAACAATTCCAACAAATAATTTAAATGTAGTTTTATGTACATCAATCAAGTTTTAAATTAAACAATATTTATTTATTTATTTTTTATTATCTGGGTCTTTAAAGGCACAGTTTGTATATTCCGCCACCAGGGGGCTCTCAAGCTAAACAATGACATAAGATGATGTTCAGGCTGGTGGGGAATCATGGGAGTGATTCTCTCTGCTACCCCACCCCGATGAGAATAACTCTGACTTATCTTTACACACACAGCAACAGTACGG